TTATGATTTCCACATGAGGGAATGTGAGGTTGAGATATCTGCTTGGCCTCTTAATCGTCTGCACTTTAATTCACCTTGCATAAGCAGACAGTGACCTCATCCAACAAAAGTGATTAAAACCAACACACATCAGCATCTAGGTTATGTCCCATATAGCTGCTAGTCTGACCCAGTTACAAGCCCAGAGTTAAAAACACACTTCTAGGCCTGGACTGCTGCAGATATCCTGCCTTAACGCACACTGTGAAGTGTTTTAAGAAGAGGGAAATGCCGATGATAAATCAGCAATTGTGTGCTGCAAAAATTCTAAGAACCATAAATCTGAGTCATAAAATGATTTCGATGGTATCTTTGGCTTTCAAGTGGCCCTATTCATCTGCATGACTGGACTATCTGACTCTGGAAGAGAACCATTTAGTTACAAACGTGACTGAGAATAATAACGTAGCAGCACGTACGTGGAGAGGTGTTCTCAGATGCTCCAGCCTCTGGACATCAACATATGTGCAGTCACTACAAACATCACAGTAATGCAGAAGGCTCAAACTTGGGATGGAAGTGGTTTAAGGTACTGGATTTTTTTTTCCAAAATCTGATTGCTAGTACTGGAGAGATTGGTCAGTTGTTAAAAACACTTTTTGTTCTTTCATGGGACCTTGATTCAATGTTCAGAGTCTATAAGGTGCTGTAGCAACAGTCTTTAAATCTTGCTCCAGGGTGCCCAATGCTTCTTTGACCTGGGAATCTTGCACGTACCATATGCATATACATATATACATAACCTAAGACAAGTATTTGAAAACCATTTCTCAATGACCTTAAAGAATATAATATCAAAAGAAGAAACAACGATCCCAGCTTGCCTTTCTGTTGAGGTGATAAAACACTGAGCAAACCCAACTTGCAGGAAGAAAGGGGTTATTTTGGCTTACACCATCAAGGAAATGAGAACAGGGACTCAAGGAAGGAACTTGGAGGCAGCCACTGGAGCATCAACCACAGAGGAATGCTGCTTACCAGCGTCCACGCTCACAATCCAGCTTTCTTATGCACCCAGGCCCACCTAGGAATGGCACCTCCAACTGTGGACTGGACCTTCCTGCATCAATTTCCAATAAAAAAAATTGCCAGATAGACATGTGCAAAGGCCAAGATGATGGAGGAAATTCTTCAGTTAGGGTCCCTCTTCCCACGAATATCAAGTGGACAATGCAATTTAGCCATTACAGGAACTGTTTTGTTTGCGCATTTCTATCAAAGTCCACACCACGTAACCCAAACTCTATGACTTCAAAATGGGTGGAACTATGAGCAATCCAGAATGAAAAAGAAAATCTAAACAATTATGGAAACTTCAAGTCCTTGAAATCCACGAGGGATCGTATAGTCTGTGTCTGCTAAATGCATACAATTGACTTGCTTAGATATGAGATTGTAAAAATAATACAATGAGAGTCCATGCATTCTTGGGGTTGTGAGGACTAGAATTTACACAGACATAACTAATCTTCAGACTTTGCCATGATCTATATTAGAATCCAGTCTCAAATCTGTGTTCTTTCATCAAGTATCTGAAAGCATATTAAGTAAATAATGCTCTCAGTGGCAACAAAAAGCTTACATGTAACACAAAATATATGTACCCTCAAACCTCACTTTCTTAGGATGTATTTTCTATAATTCATAGGACTTTTTAAAAAAGTGTTGTAAGAAGAGAAAAATGTAAAAGTGAAGCATGAAAATGATATATATTTGTAAATTGGCACTCAGAAGATGTCATTTTTATATTGTATGTAACTTGAAAATTTTGACACATTTATTATAGTCTTATTATAGGCTGAAGCCCTGTTTTTGAATAATGATATGAACTATGGGAAAAATTACCCACAACTCCTGCTACCTGATTTCTATATTATAGGACCTTAAATGGTAAAGTATAAGATATATATTTATATGTGTGTACATTTCCTCATAAATCCAAATATTTGCTTTTTTAAAAAGTTAAACCATCTAGCTACCACAGTATTTTTTAAAAATATACCAGGGTACAGATTCTTTTTCTACTATGCTATAAAACAGAGAGTTTCTACAAAACAGAGGATTTCTAAAATAAGCTGGCTGTGTTTGATCTCTACTTACTATGAACTTAAAACAACTAAACAAACAACAAAACAAACAAACAAAAGGAAACAAACCACAAGCTCATTTGCAACCCAAGCGGGTCTGGAACCTGAAAACACTGCCTTATCCTCCAGAATGATGGATTTACTGGAAGAGAATATCATGTTCACTCACAAGTCCTATTAGATGTGATTTAAAATACGTAATTGCTCCAAACTGGTCCCCCAAAACAGCTCTTTAAGAAAAGTTACATAGAATTTTAATTTAATTCACCCTTATAGAGTAGATTTCTAATGGGTGGAGAATATGAAACTAAATTTAATAATATATCTTAACTGTAAAACATTAGATGTCACTGCAGAAAATCAGTTAAAAAGCTAACACATTTCTCCTAAAATATGAATTCCACGAGTTTATAATCCTAAAAGGATGTATGATATCTTATCTATAATATCTATTATAAACTACTAAAGCTGCATTCCGTGAGTATGTTAGCAATTATGGAGACACAATGTGTTTCCTTTTAGCCTACCCTCTTGGATGGCCTATCCTTTTGGCCTATCCCAGGCTCTGTAACCGCCAAAAAGGTGGAAATTTGTGCATAAGTTTGAGGAAAGCTCCTGACAGTTGTCATTCTGTAATTGCAATTATGTTGAAATAATTAAGTGTTTTCAGAAAATCAGTTATAGTCTTCAAAATCAACAATCGCTTTAAACCAACCTTCATACTTTGTATGAAGGCTTATAGATGGCTTTTTTCAGAATCTGAGAAATCGTTTATTAAACTGATAAAATATACACATATCATTTTCTACATCTAACCAATTAGTTCATTACCTTAAACCAAGAACACTAGCACTTTAACCCTAAATTCATATGTTTTTAAAATCACCTATTATGAAGTTGACGTAGCCTCCTGGCCAAAGTGATTTACTGCCTGTCTGCACTGGGAAGTGTCTGCAAGACACCGGGCATCGCCACAATAAACTGCCGCAGTGAGAAATGCGAGCATTCCTGTTTACTTTTCAATGGGAAGAGAGGTCGTTTTTAAAAGTTGGGATTTTATAGTGTTAACAAATTTTACTTTATCCAAAAATACAAATAAAATGTTAATAAAATCTTAGAGTACCTCACAGCAACATAAAATATTCACAGTAGACGTTTCTGTATGATGATAAACTCCATGTGGAGAATTGCTGAAGATGAGGACAAAAAGAACCACTTGATGCGTCTGGACGCTTCCCCTCAGGTAGGAAATGACTGCAGTCACTGACAGCGCAGACTCTTTCAAATACTGAGTGACTAGGGAAAGGCGTGAGGGCCGACGGTCAAGGCAGCATGCAAATTCAAATTCTCACCGTGGCCTTAACTGTAAACTGTAATCTATGTAACGCTTTGCCTAGGAATAGAATGATCAGTCATCTCCCTATCACTACGGTCTCTGCGACAGCCCTGTCAGGACGAACGGCAATGAAGTATGTGCATTAGTCATCCCTTGCTGTCTCTATCGTCAAGGCGGAGTTTTCTTCCTAGGAATGGATTACAAGTATTTTAGAAGCATACATAGAAAACATAAATATTGACTTGACCACTGAAATGAAATTTTTGGTTAATGTGATAAACCATTTTTAAATTCGGTTGAAATTTCTGATCCTAAAAAGAAAAGAACACCCATAGGCAAGGTCGGATTAAGTCTGGACAGGCTGTAAGGTGTGCTTCTTAGGCTCTGCTAACGCTAACTTAAAATAAGATCCTTTGATCTGTGTGACCCTCGACCCCTCCTTCATAGAGAGCAAGAGAAGGAGGCCCTCTAAGTTGGGGTTGGGGAGGAAGGAACGGAAAAAAAAAATATGGTGTCTAAATTCTTTTGGAAAACAACACAAACTTCTTGTGGGTTTTTTTCTTTTGGAAATTGTTTTAAAATCTAACATCCACACCTACAGAGATCCTGTCCTGCTTGCTAAAGGTCACCTCAGCGCCTTCATCCTTAGGCCTCTCTTGGGCAAGCCCTATTTCAGCACCACGGACAGCAGCTGCACCCCCAGAAGCCCAGTGTTGAATGCACCAATTTCCAAGAAACTCGCCTAGACCTCCCCTTTCCTAATCAGCAAGGTCACAGTCCTGACTATGATACAAGTTTTAGATATTACCCAAAATCTTAACTCGTAGCATCAAAGATGTGTTATTTAGTATTTCTTCATAGGATGCAAAAAAAATAAAATAAAATAAAATAAAAGCAATTACATAAGGTGTTTGATTACCACCTTAACATCGAAAATCAATTGGCAGATAGCTAATTACAGCCTTCCACTTGTGTGGCGCTCAGGCCAACGCTGCGCAGACGTCTAGGAGAAAACAGGAGGCCTACGGAGTACAGGCCTCCAGAGTCTCGGAGGGACACCAGCTACCCCCATAAAACCCGTGAAATGTGTAGTCTGGCGGGTTTTCTTCCTCCTACACCAACAGCTACCCTTTGTCTTGGTCCTGGGGCTAACCGGCTTCGCGGTGATAGAAGCGGAGAAGCGATGCGGGCAGAGCCGCGGGAAGCTCGCTCCGGCTGCCCGCGTGTGCTAGCCCCCTCTCCGCTTTCCCGACACGCAGCCACGGAGTTTGAGCCAACTGCCCAGCTCCAGGAAACAGCTGAAGCCTGACTCTCTGGTCTGGGAAGATGGACTCCCCTGGTGTCCGGGGGGGGGGGGGGGGACGGCTGAGGGGAAGGCGCCAGGCCGCCAGCCACCTGCCAGGGGTCCCCAACTCTAGCGGGAAGTCGGGCTCTTATAGGCAGCTGAACGCTGTTAAACTTACAGAGCCGGAGCTGGCTAGAGCACCGGGAGAGCGGGAAAGCCGCGGCTCGGGAAGGGACGGGAGCGCGGCGCCTACCTTGCAGTCCTCCGGACAGGACTTCACGGAGTACTCCTCCGACTGCAAGTACTTGTGCAGCACGCTTTCAAACTCTTCGTACTTCTCCTGGGCGTGGTGGTCGTAGTCCTGGTAAGCCTCGATGCACTGCTTGCACGTGGTCCTCTCGCCGCCCTCCGCGAGCACCACGTCCAGGCTGCAGTTCAAAGCGCTGGGGCTGGACAGCCCCGAAAACAACTCCCAAAGTGTGTAGGAATTACAAAACGAAAGGTAAAAATCCGACAAGTTCCAGAGCGGAGTTGGCCGCGAGCCGCCGGCCGCCTGCTCCTCCCCCGCGGCCGCCTCGCGGCTCCAGTTCCTGGCGCACAGGGCGTCCGCGCTCTCCACGGTGAAGCACTGGCCCGAGGAGGCGCCCGGGGGGTAGCAGGTCTCCAGGCGCCACGCCGGCCTGGCGGAGTTTCCTAGAGGAGCCCCGCTCCGGCGGCTCTGGCCTCGCTCGCCCGGGCCGCCGCCGCCGCCTGCCGGCGAGGGGGGCAGGGTGGGGGACGGGGAGGCGGAGAGGAGTCTGTGTGCCTGGGTGGCGGGCGAGGGCTCCATGCCGGCCAGGAGCGCGGGCCAGGAGGGCTCGTGCTGCCGCTGCCGCTGCTGCTGCCGCTGCCGCTGCTGCTGCTGCTGCCGCTGCTGCTGCTGCTGCTGCTGCTGCTGCTGCTGCTGCTGCTGCTCCTGCTGCTGCTGCTGCTGCTGTTGCTGCTGCTGGTGGTGATGCTCTTTGTCCCGGGTCCGGGTCAGCTTGGCCTCGGCGCAGAACCACAAGTGATCAGAGAGCAGGACCGTGAAAAACAGGAGTGAAGCCAGAGACAGTCGCCATTTCTGAGCCCTCTCTGAATCGATGAACGGTTTCTCGTTCTCCCGGGGTGCTGCCAACCAGATTTTTAAGCCGTCGTCATACTGCCGACACATCCAGGCACCCCTGGTCATATTTTGGGAACGCACAGCCCTGGCCGACTCCGCCGTGTGGGCTCCGGTGCCCGCGTCTCCACAATATGCATTGACTTAAAGGGCTTAATTTCCGTATCCCCTCCTCCCGTCCCCCCCCTCTTTCTCTCTCTCTCTCTCTCTCTCTCTCTCTCTCTCTCCCTCTCCCTTTCTCTCTCTCTCTCTTTCAAGATATCTCTCTCTCTCTCTCAATATCTCTCTCTCAATATCTCTCTTTCTCAATCTCTCTCTATCTCTCTCTCTCTCTGCCTACATAAATATTACCATACTTTGGAGAGAAATCTTGCTTCCGACCTAATCCTCAGCCAGCCGACCCCATCCCCTGGAGAGTGGGAGACAATAATGGAGAGAGAGCGAGAGAGCGCAAGCGAGAGAGAGATAGACAGAGAGAGAGAGAGAGAGAGAGAGAGAGAGAGAGAGAGAGACGCGGAGGCTGGTTCTGTACCGGCCGGTGGGGAGGCTGAGTGCGGGAGGTGATGGTGGAGGTGGCGGGGTGGCTGGCGCTGCTCCTGTCACCCCGGCATTGTCAGCGCTTGGGTCCCCATGGCCCAGCGGAGGACAGCCCGCTCTCCCCTGCCAGGGGCATGCCGCGTCTCCGCTGCCCACTGACGGCGAGCGGAGCGCCTCCCCTCCTCCTCCTCTCCTCCTCCTCCTCTCCTCCTCCTCTTCCTCCCCCTTCCTCTCCGTCGCTCGCTTCTCCTCCGCCTCCCGCGCCTACTTCGCGCTGGCTCTCCCCGCGCCCCGAGCTTGGGCGGCTGCCGACGGGGCTGTCCCTCCCTCCCACCCCCCTCCCCGCGCTCCGACCGTCGCCGCGGCCGCTGCAGGTCTGCCCGCGGGCGCCGCCGGGGGCCGAGTCGCCTGCTCTGAGCCTCGGGAGGCCACTGTCACCCTCAGTCCCCCGGCTAAGTTGCCGCCATCTTCGTCCTGGAGGCACACTTTTTTGGGGGGAGCGCTGGATTTTGCGTCATCTCCTCCCGCCCCGAGGTCTCTCCATCCTGGTGCAGTGGCGGAGGCTTGGCCCGGGGAGAAGGACGAGGACGCGCCGGGCGGTGGCTAGAGGACCCGCTGTCCGCCGCCCCCTCCGGGCCCTGCACCGAGGCTTTTGCCCCGGGCTTGTAGTTAATTCCCACTTTTTATTTCGGAGTCAGGACGTGGGTGAGTGGCCACGGCTGCTGCCCTGGGTCTCCAGCTTCTCCTATCCCGCTGTCCAGGGGACATGTCCGGCTAAGAGGTCCCCTTTGAGGACGGGACTGAGTGTCATCTCCCTCACTAGAGGATCCACAGAACGAGGAAGGTGGCTAGAGCAGGGGCGAGGTGACTTTGCAGGCTCGGTCTGAAAGCTCTCTGAGTGCCTAGACAGCACCACTGCGATCGGTTGTGTCCTAAATCGCTTTTATGGGTCAGAAAGAATGCGGGGTGCACTCGTGAGCGTGTCTGCCTGGATGGCACCGTGCGCGCGCTGCAGCTACGCCCACATTCTACTCCATGTCTGACCACCTTCCCTCCTACACAGTAAGCGTCAACAAAGGTCTGCTCGGCCCTGGGGAAGCACCGGCACTACGGCGCACCCCACTGGCGTTGCGCTCGGGGGCCCTGATCCTGGAGGATCCCTCGCGAGGACCCCCGAGGGCCCCCGAGGGCCCCAGAGCACGAGCGCACTGCTCCTGCTGCCCCGCCCCGCCAGGTGGGCTGCTCTGCGCCGGGGCTTCCGCAGCGCCCTCCAGGCTGGCGCTACAGTCCGGGACTCTGGTGCCCCTTAGTGTCGGCTCGAGGAGTTCCAAGAAGGAAAAGGCAGACACAGGCTGGGAAAACCTGAGGTCCCCTGGTTTCCGGTCTGCCGGGGTGGGGATGCGGGGCAAACAGCAGTCTCCTGAGGCCTGGACAGCTCTTTCACACCGTGTAGCTCCAGAGCACCAGACCTGGGATGCCAGGCGCTCTCTCTGGCAGCCAGGAACACTTAACAGCTACCCTGTAAATCTCTCTCCCCTGCATTCCTGAAGCCATGAAAGAGCCTTACCAGGTGCCCTGAATCCCAAACAAGTACCCTAAGAAACCAAAAGAAGGGCGCAACGGAATTTGTTTTCCTATCAGAGGAGCTGTGGGTGCTGGAAACAGGGAAGGACTGGGGATTTCTCAAACGGGAAGTTGCAAGACACAAAGGGTGGGGTCCCTTCCTTTCGCGGTATAGTGAGATATAGCTATACTAATTTTGCATATTTAAATTAAGTTCTGTAAAACTATATGTAATGGTCACGAAGGAACTAGGTCCAGTTTGCCAACTGGTTTATGTAGAAATGCCAAGAGAGGGTTTAATAGGTCATTTGAGCACATTCTAGTAGTTTAGTTTTCATTTTGTCGAATTTCTGATTAATGTCAGAATTTTTCTCCCACAGAATCCCCAAAATCCTGTTCATTAACCAGCCCATGAGGAGTCTCTCCATACCTGTGCACTGCACCCCACAGCCACGGTCTCATTACAGTGAACACACGGAGGCTTTGTAGGTACTCTCCATCATTTTCCACCAGAATGGCATGGGTGCTATGGGAAATAACCAGAAGCAAACCCAAGTTAAAGTCACAACTGAATCAGGCGCAGTGACACAGGCCTGTACTTTAAGCTATTCCATGTATGAAGAGGGGCGAGTCACTGGGACACAGGGGCCCTCTTGCCTGAAGTAACATACCAAGATGGGCACAAGCGATTCCAAAGGCGTGTACAATCCCTGCTGGCTGTCTCCTCTGTCCCCCTCACATTTATATCATGAAGCCTCTCTTCTTTCATACTCACTAGGTTGCTATATTAGAACGTTGTTGTGTAGAATTCATAATCATATTAATTAGGCACTAAGCATTCTTTTCCATACATCCTACACCTATCGCCCCTGCTGCGCTGCTAATGTGAGTCCAGATGCACAGATTTTAGTGGTGGTTTAAATGAGTAGCTTGTCTCTCACTGTAAGCTGCAGATCCAATCTGAAGGAGAACTGCAGATGGGAGAGAGAAGAAACACAACAAACGGAATTGAAAGACTGTGGTTCACCAACAAGAAAAAGATGCAAAGCTTTGGTTATTTTTTAAACATCATTATTATGCAGATGTAGCTAAATTACATCTCAAAAATAACTCTATGATACTTACACTAAGTTAAAACAATAATGTGTAAATCTGATCCTATGACAGATGGGAGTTCGTTCTTTGTTTTTAGAGTTTCCTGGGCTCTTCTTTTCTCAAACACTTCTTATGAACTGAATATTTTAAAGTAAGACAACCTCAGGATGTAACGGTTCAAAGTAAGTCATCTCCTCCTTTGCTAGCCCATAATGGTTCTGGAGTGAGTGAAGAAACTCTGGGACACTTCACATGTCTGAAGACAAGGCACTGAGTGCAGGAAAGCCAGGCAGCTTAGACACGGGAGATGGAGAATGCAGTGGCTGAGTGATGCCCTCCAGGGCCGGCAAGCAGCATTTGAGTGGGACCAGGATGGACACAGTACTGGCAGCATTGACTGGGACACAAAGGGTTCCTTTAGAAGGTGGAACACTCATTTTGAAGAATGGTAGGGTAAAAACAAAACAAACAAACAAACAAACAAACAAACAAAGCAAGTCAGGAGGAAAGGGTGTATTCAGCTCACACTTCCACATCACAGTCCATCACTGAGGGAAGTCAGGGTAGAAACTCAAGCAGGGCAGGAACCTGGAGGCAGGAGCTGATGCAGAGGCCATGGAGGGGGCTGCTTATGGGCTTGCTCAGCATGGCTTGCTCAGCCTGCTTTCTTATAGAACCCAGGCCACCAGCCCAGGGATGTCACCACCCACAGTGGGCTGGCTCTCCCCCGTTAGTCACTAATTAAGAGAATGTCCCACAGCTGGATTTTATGAGATTGAGCTTCCCTCCTTTTGGATAACTCCAGCTTGTGACAAGTTGACATAAGCCAGGCAGCACAGCTGTCCAGGCTGTCTATGTTTTTAAAAAGTCGTTAAGTGTAAAGCGCCAACACAGAGCAGATCGTCTAATTATTAGGATAAGCAGGGCTGAGGTGTTGCTCTGTTGGCAAAGTGCCTGCTGCACAAATGTGTTGACCTGAGTTCCAGTCCCCAGCACTCCCATACGGGCTGGGAAAAGTGGGGTGCATCTGTGACCCCAGCATTGCGGGGAGGCACAGGTGGATCAGTGATGCTCACTAGCTGGCCAGCTTAGTTCAGCTAATGCACACCACATTAGTGAGACATGGCCACAAAACAAGCGGGGACTAGTCAAGGAAGACATCCAACACCGTCTTCCGACCACACACAGACACACACGCACACACATGCATACACACACACACACTCACTCACTCACGCTCACACTCACATGCACCAGAAGAAATGTAGGACTAGCAAGTCTCCTGACTTCCTCTGCTGACTGCTTTCTTCCAGGCTTGTGCCGGCTAACAAGGCAGGACCAGGACCTTCATCAGTGTTTCCACTCTGTTCCGGCCTGGTGACTTTCAACCTCCGATGAGTAGAGTCACAGGGAAAAAGTGAGAACTTAGTCCTCCTGGAAGCTGCTCAGGGGAGTTCAGGAGAGACCTGAGGAAGCCGACTGCTGAGCAAGTGTTCTCCGGAAACTCTGGATGCAAGTACCACAGGCTCGGGTCCGTGGCTGAGAGAGCCCTGCTGGAATGGCTGCTCGCTGCAAGTCAGGAGGGGACCGTGCTGTGACTTCTCAGAGCACCGAGTCACAGGGAGGAGGGGGCTGCTGTAGCATCCTAGTGAGAAGAGCAAGGCTGTGTGTCATTCACTCATAGACATTTTCATGGTATGTACACAATGGGTGCTACCTTTAACACGAGCAACCGACATTACTTTCTTTGTCATCATAAAAATGACTTACAACTTGCCAAACATTATGCTAAGAACATGTGTACTTACACAAAAATTCACACTCACTCACACAAACACACACGCATGCATGCACGGGGCGAAGCTTCTACAGAGGACAGAGAGATTATTCTATAACCCAGAAAAGACACAGGAAGGAAAAACTCATGCACAGAAACAAACACACAAGACTGCATCTGAACGGGAAAAACCCGGCTGCATCCAGCTAGGGAGACAGGAATTCCCTCCTGTGGCATTGTGCACGCCCTAAAATGGTGCAAGCACCTTCCCAGGAGTCAGTCCTTTGGAAAGGTCTGGTCTCCTTCCCTTGGAGTCCTCTTAGAAAACTCTCACATTCAAGGGGCCTCTTTTTATTTTACATCACATTTTGTTTTTCCTAAAGTAGTATCCAGTGGTACCGTGAGTTGCTAACAGAGCCGGGAACAGCTGCATTGCAAAGGGGCAAGCGGCCGTGGTGGACGGCAGGCACGGCATGGCAATGGGTACGATGGGGCTGTAGTTTAAAGGAGAATCTTGAAGACTGTAGCTGAGGGCTTGTTTGTGATACGGACAAGAAGACTGTTGCCCTGACACTCACGGGTTCGCTGACGAGGACGGAGAGGGTGTAACCCCGCCTAAGTAAGCTGCTGAGAAGGTAGGTGCAAGGACTCTTTAAAAAGACCTAACGCCAGTGGGGAAAATACACGACAGATTACAACTTGTATCTGTGAAATCGTCCCACTTTGGCTTGCCCAAATCAATAGCTATTCTAGGGGCAAGTCAGCCCTTACCTGCTGAGGGATTTCCTCAGCGCAG